GATTATTAGATAGACTTATATCCATATTAGACAGAACTGAACGACGACAGCGAACAGGAGGGAGAATGTGAGCGGTGTGTGCTCAGGCGTTGCGGCTGCCGTTCTCAGGCGCGCTGTCAAAATAAAGTCCCACCTCGAACACATCGGCCAAACAGAAAAACGTATTGGCCGTTCAAATGATTTCAAATTTCTTAAATATGAATTAAAATAAATAAATTTATATCAGCTTTATATCGCTTTATCATACCCTGCTTTCCAAGATATCGGCATCGGTATCGGCTGTCAAAAAACCCATATCGGTCGACCACTAGGCAGCATGACTGTTTTCAACATTGATAATAATCAGAAATGTTTCTTGAGCAGCAAATCAGCATATTAGAATGATTTCTGAGACACTGAAGACACTGAAGACTGGAGTAATGATGCTGAAAATTCAGCTGCGCATCACAGAAATAAATTACAGATATTCACATAGAAATTCACTTTGATTAAACTGTAATAATATTTCACATTTTTTACTGTATTTTTGATCAAATAAACACAGACTTGGTGAGCAGAAGAGACTTTTAACTAAACATTAAAAAATCTCACTGACCCCAAAGCTTTGAACACTAGTGTATGTTTTTTCTAAAACATTTTAAAATGTTAAATTTGATGAGATATGAAATTATAAAATATGTACTAAAATGAATAAAATAAACTAAAAAAATATAAATAAATTAATGAAATAAAATAAACTAAAACTAAAAAATAATCTAGAGCTAAATAGAAATATTAAAAAAAAAAAGTAAACGGATAAAAATAACAAAATCACTAAAACTTAATCTGCAATTGAAATAAAAACTGAATATATTAATATTAAATTATATTTATGTTTATATTAACATGAATATATGAACATTCAAATAAAAGCTCATTTAAAATATTAATATATACTGTAATATAATAGTATAAAAATAATACTGTAACACTGTGTGGGTCAGGAAATGAATAAACAGAAAAACATTAATAATAACATTAAACAATAAAATTTTAATTATTTTGATCCAACTCAAAGTCCTGATGGACGAAATCATAACTTTTAAGCAAAACCTTGAAATTAAAATGAAATACTACATATGTTTTAGTCACATTTGCATGTATTTGTAAGCACCTGGCTAGATTTGTCACCTTTTAATTCAACTTAAGATTTTGATGCGTACCGTTACACCCCTAATACATATACACATACATATATACATATTTTAGGTAAAATACTTTTTGATTACTTTTGACCTAACTCATTTATCACATTGATTCTTGTACCATTATGATATATATTTTGTGTAAAAATGTTGGATTTCTAGCAGTCTGATCAAATGGCTCTTGCAAAACTGTTTGTTTCGTTAATGTCTGCTTTACTGGTGTCAAACTCAGAGGTTTACAGGAATACAATATTTGTGTGAGGAGATGAAAAGCGTCGTACAGTACAGACTGAATGTCCAGCGGTCTGCTGTTCATCAAACGTTCAGAAGCAGCAGATCCGTCATGATGAACAGAAACGCTCGTGCTCTGATTTAACGGCTGACGATGCTTCATCAGACCCGCCAGAACTCATCAACCGTGACACTCATTAAACGAGACAAACGAGTTCCTTCACACACACTCCTCAGCACCCTTCATCAGTACGCTAGAGGAGAAACTCTTTCCAGCAGAGTATCAGTGAGGTGCTTCACCTTCAGAAAATGCTGATCGTCCACAGCAGGAGTCAAATTAAACATTATATGAGCCGTTTAATATCACATTTCATTTAGATTTATTGCAGCTGTGTTACCAATATTTGGAACGTGTCTAAATACGTGTCTAAATAAATGTTAATTATCTTGATCTTTATTTTGTATCAATAAATAATACATAAAATATTAAACTAATAAGATATGACTGAATTGTGGGTTTTAATTCTCCCTCCCTCTCTCTCTCTCTCTTTGTGTGCGCATGCATTGAGTGAGTTTGCACGTGAGTGGGGTGTGCTGGTGCGAGTGAGTGAAGCAAATATTGTTGTTTCTTTGATGTTTTCCCTCTTTTTAGTCTGTTGTTTTTCCCTTTTTTGAATTGGTCGTCCTTTTAGGAGGTGTACCGCGGGTCTTGCGGTAGGCCTACTGTAAACGCCGGGATGGTGGCAGCTCCCGTGCAAGGAACGCCACCTGTTCTCTCACTCCGTAATGGGTGCAGGTGTGCGTCAGACCCTTGTGTTACGGTCGAAGAGTTGCTCTTAGTCGTAGGAGAGCAAGTTGGGTTTGAGAACATACTGTCGGCCTCACAAATGAGCCAAGCGATTGTTTTCTTTTAAGGAGTGAAGCTTTAGTAGACGCGCCGTGTTATTCATTCAAAATATTAGAGAAATATAGAAGCTCAATGCGGAGAAGATCTTGAATAGGTTAAAACCGAAACCAAGCCATTCAAGCAGAACGCATATTCAGCGCATTTTTAGATGGACACATATGACTGCTGCACTCGCGTCTCACACAAGAGATGTATAGAAAGCCATGCAAAGTTAAAACAGTTTAAACTTTTA